CTGGGGATTCGAACCCGCCACCTTAGGTGTACGTGGCTGGCGCCTTAGCCGGTTGAGCTATAGGCGCCGAGCCTGAAGTGATTTTCAATGCCATCTTCTTCAATACCCTACAGGAACAGGAACACAGGCTTGAAAGGTGGAGGTGATTTGCCTACAGTCACACTGGGGGTGACTAAAACTCACCAAATCTTTAGCAATCTCAGCAACATGCCCAACAGCTGGACCCTTGAGAAAGCTGCTGGGCACACCTCCTATTTTCAATGATTTCTTAGTAAAACAGTCCTTTCCTTTTCCTGCTTCTACCCTGCAAAGTCTCTTATCTCTAAGACGCTCAGGTAAAAAGCAACCCCATTCCTGCTTTATATTCTCCCTCACTTCCAAAAGGAAGTAATCAAGCAAGATCCATTTATGCTAAAGTATTACATAGTTATGCTCAAGTTAACAGTATTTGATTTACAATCCGTTAATGGTTCATCTTGTCAGCATAATTTACTCACTCTAAAAGAACCCCAAATTTTATTTTTTATAAAAGTCCTTATTAAATACGTTAATAATCTTTCTGTAGTCTTTAACAGAACATATCATGTTCTTGCCAATTAAATTATTGCTTTCATCTGCTGGGAGTTAAGAAACCAGATTACCAGGTTAGTTTAATGGGCTGAAAAGATAACAGCCTAAGGCTGATAGGCTCTAAAGCTGAGTAGTTCATGGCTTTATGACAGTTGTTGTTCTCACGGAAGTCTTTTTCACTTATGTCTGACTTGACATTTAATTACTTTCCATTATTGGTCCAACCAAACTATCTCTTGCTACAAATCAGTGAATAATTTTGGTACAAGTCAGCTACGTTTTCATAGTCTCCTGCCATTTTCTCCCTGCTAATTCTTGAATATAAATTGCATAGGTGTTTGATTGCTAATTGCCATGTCTTATGGCTCTAATCTTTCAATTAGTATCTCAAATAAAGTTCTGGCATCTTTAATATGACCAGCCAATTAATCCATAAGTCCTTTGCAATTTCCTGACTACCCTTCTGAAACTTTGCCATACCATAATTATCATCATGTGCCTGTCTAATAGAGTAACTGCTCCTACCACAATCCAATTTCTTGAGTTTCATATGTCTACAAGGCTTAGTGTAGCTGCTCTCAATGAATTTCAGAAACAGTGTGTTATGGCTCCTGCTATGGCATCCCCATCCTGGCTACCAGAAAGAATCCATATTCCTATTTGGTTTCCTTAGAGTCATCTGATACCTGCTCTCCTTGAGGTCTTGGAAGCAGGAATCTACAGTTTTGAGCCTCAGACCTCTCTTTGAACGAGCAAATCGCATGTAATTAATAACTTCGTTTTGATGGTGCTCATTTAGACCCAACTCTGCCTGCAAAAAAGAGAAGTAATTTGATTGTTAGTCTTGAAGATTTGATCAAAGAGTTAACGACGAAAATATACAGTATTCTGTGGTAGAGAATGTTAGATGTTCATCAAATCCTGTTCTTTCCTACCCACTCTTCAAGCCCTCACCTATTTTACCTATTCTGTGATGCCTCCCAACATGCCCTCAGTAAATCTACAGTTATGCCTTCCTCCAAAAACTAACATGCTACTTCTTTGATAGCTACTTCTTTGATAGCAACACAGCCTGATTACTGCCTTGTACTAATAGTCATTTCCCACCCCCCACCCCCCAGGTATTGCTCCTCCAAGTGGATTGTAAGCTCCCTGAGGGCATGAATAATTTCTTGTACCACATGACACCTAGCATAGTAGTTCAGGCACAGCAGGGCCAATTCATTTCCGTTAATTACTTTTCCTCCTGTCAAGGAGAGTTAAGAGTATCTGAGGACCAAGAAAGCAAAATTACTCAAACTGACAAGGATAAACTTTAGGATAACGAACAGAAAAGTTCCTCTGAAATGGGTAGAAGTGAAAAAAATGGATAACAGTGAAAAAAGAGAGCTGAAATGGACAGCTGAGTTCAACAGCAGAAATAGCATCAGAAATAGCTATTCATAAACCTTTACTTCTAGACATACATTATATAGATCTAATAAAAAGACAAAGCACTAGGTTAGAAACCAGATTTCAGCTTAGGTATGCAACTCTCTGTGCAACTGTTACCAAGTCACTTAACCTCATTGACATGAGTTTCACCACCTGTTAAATGAGAGTAGATATGATGATCAGCTTTAAAATGTTCCATAACAATGGGATATATTCAAATGGGGGAAATCAGAAGTTGTTTGAATTCTGCTGAAATATTCTATTTAAAAAATGAGAAATTTTTATTTCTGAAAACATAGCAAGAAATCCTACCAGAACACTGCTAAGCTAGTGCCTTCAAACTGTGCCATAAAGTGCGTGGGAGAGGGAGGGAGAAGAGGAGAGAGATAAAATACCAGAAATGGTTCCCTATTCTTGACTGTGCCCAAATATCCACATACAATTTTAATATGTGAAGTATAAGGAAGAAATTGTACTGATAAAAATG